CTTTAAGATCTGTCCGGCGTGTCCCCCATATTCATGGTATGTGCACCGCTGCTAAAATGTAACACGATCATTAATATCCTCCACTCTTTTGTATCAAGTGTCACTATCCGGGTGACACCCCCACACACAATACACACACAGAGCGGATCAAAGCATAAAGACATAAACACAGTTTTTTTAGGGAAAACACTGCGGTCCCTCGGACAATATTGTAATATATCCACCTTAAATGGGTAAAGATGGTCGCCTAGAAATGTAAGTTACGACCTGCCTCAACGCCCTTAAAAGTCGTCACAAGAGTAGACATCCAGAGCTTGACCGACGCGGTAAAATATGTTCTACACCGCCTGACATGAAACAATCATTTAAAACAAGACGTACCGCGAAAATGCCGCAAGCTCGTCCATCGACTATGACTCCCTCTCCCCCTCCCCACTGAACTCGGCTAAATGTTCATAGCTAACTTTGGGCAAGGTTCATAGTTTTAAATATTGTGCCATATTGTTCAAGTTCAATTACGAAACAATTAAAGTACGGTTTTGAGTCCGACCATTTTGATTTGTGAATAAAATATTTGTCAATAATAATTAGAAGCTGAATAATCGGCTGCAGAGCAAGCTGCTGACGCATGTGCTACATAAACATAACTTTTTTCTTATTTCGTAACATGACTGAGATTTATAGAATGTACATCCCTCAAGATTAAAATTGTTCTACATGATTGATTGACGTTAGATGAGAAACATTAATAAATTGTGTCTCCTATATTAACTGCATATTTGTAAATTGAACAACCTTTCCTTTTTATTCAGCTCAGAAATTTAAACGGCATTGTTTCTTGGAAACTTCCTCTCTTTAGCCGGAATGTGGCAGAGTGGTGGTGCTGCACGGTGTTAAAGGCAGAGCCACCGAATATAAATTACCTGACAACGTCACCTGGGGAATTTCACCCCAGGAAATGTTTCATTTACACCAGGTTAACACCACACGTTCAGTGACTGAGCCAACACAGAGACGTGGTTCAGAAATCAATACCAATTTATTTATTAACAAATGTTAACTGCTGGAAGTGTTAGCAAGGCAGAGGCGGAATTCAAGTATAATAGACCATAACAAAGTCTAATGCAATATTTTAATGCTAACAGTTTAAAGGTGGGGTAGGTAAGTTTGAGAAACCGGCTCGAGATACACTTTTTGTTATATTCCATGGAATGCTCTTAACATCCCGATAGCAATGAATATCTTAAGTGCTTTGACAAAACATTTATAAAAAAATGTCATCTGTGGAAGCCGTAGTACTGTAAAAAGCACGACCAATCATTTCAGCCGGCCCGGCTAAAATAACTGGATGGCCTACCTGCCTGTCAGCCTTCCATCTGTGCACAAACTTATCTCGTGCCCTCATTGGTCATGTGCGCGTTCATGTGTGTTGGAGGAGGGGCTCTGTAAGGAAGTGGCAGATTTTCTCCGGTTGTGTATTTTCAAATTCCAGCGCACTTGAGCTGGTTTCTCCAAAATTACCTACCCCACCTTTAAGTTTGTTTATATATATATATATATATATATAAAAAATACACTTCCAATAGAAATTTACTAAAATCAATAAAGGGAAAGGGAGAGTGGGCGGATGCAAAACAGCTCAAACAGCCGCTCATTACTACCTAGGATAAAAACCTGTTGTTCATTAGTTTCATAATTAGTTGCACGTTACTTACCACAAATTATAATGACTAATACCTTAACAGTACTAAGCAGAGGGGGGAGAATTAACCCACATCTCTCCAGGTAGACAGGAGCTACATCAACACAAAAGGTCAAACTGTGTTCTTTGTCTGAACAATTCTTGGGCGTACGTTCAGTTCAACACTGCCAAGGTGACACAAGGTGGAGCAGGAAAACAGGCTGAAAGAAGACTAATAAAATGAATGCAACTTCAGTCATTAAATATGAAATGCACACCAGGACTTTGAGTAGCTGATCAAAGAATTGGCCATGTGGCAACAGGCAGGCAGCAATGAATCAAAGGGCTGCCATGATGCCACAGGTGCCTTAAATACCCCTGAGCTAATCAGCAGGTTGGGTCTGGGGGAGGAATTGACCTACTCCTGTGGGGTGCAGTTTCCTGAGCCCAGTGTGGCTGCTACATAAGCATGGTAAATGGACTGCATTTATTTAGCACTTTCCTGCACATTCACACATCGTTGGCCAAGGATACATAGACTCATTATTCATTACAAAAGACTATTTGAATATGATTCTTTAACAAGAAGAAATTGCTTGAACATTAACTAACAGCAACTGCTCGTTGTGATTCTTGTTTCTATGTGTTGTAAATGAACAATTTGTGACTGAAGAAGAGACTTGTTAATACAGAAGAGTGAAATCAGGAGTTCTGCAGAAACAACCACAACTTGTAGATGTCAGTTCTCTCCATGCAGTTGATCACAGACTCATGATGCCTGAGCTGAGACAGACTTCCTTAATTTCAAATCTCCACACATAGATGGAGGATTTAACAGGGATTCGTGTCCTCTGTTCTTCCAAGCATTGTACTGGAAAACTGGAAGTAAAGCATTAAAATAATCTTCTTTTTATGTTTATTTTGTTTTCTTTGCTTTTTAATGTCTGTTTTTAAATGTCAGATTTCTTAATGCTCTTAATGTTTTTCATTTTTGTAAAGCACTTTGAATTGCCTTGTGTTGAAAGGTGCTGTATAAATAAACGTGCCTTACCTTCTGTAACACTATATCATAACGGTTAAAGGGATTTGTTTTAAATTCTTTCCATATGTCAAAACGCTTTAGCAGTGTAGCACTCAGTGCTTCTTCTGCAGTGTAATAAGGTGTTGGTTTCGAGTAAATTAACTGAGTTTCTTTACTCGTGTAGCATTATTTAAGTAGGTAAGTTATTTGACAAAATTAATAATAATAATACAAAATAAGCAACTTATGACTATTGGTTTCAAACACGACAGGAGTCCCACAGTTTTGTGCAATAGCAGCTTTAGCATTATTACAATTATGTTGTGTTTCCTGCACTGTTAGCACTTGGTTAAGGTTAGTGAAGCAACACGTTTATTTGTATTCAAATGAAAGCAGGATTTCCCTTACTTTTTCATAAAAGTGTAAAAAGATAACAATAAATGATAATAACAATATTTTACCTTAGTAAAATTCACCTGAGAACTCTTGATAAGACCTAATCTGTGCTCATTGTGTCCAGTTTGTCTCAAAAGCAACGTTTTCCACTTGAATACTGCAGTTATAATTATTTATGTATAATTTTTATTTGGATTTTGTATAATTGATAACAATAAATAAGTTGGAACTTCAGCTAAATAAAACTAGCACTTGTGATTATTGTGGTCACAGTAACATCACAAACCAGGGAAACGTGAGCCCATTTCTTTTTAGCTGTGCCAGCGGGGGGCCATGTTTACAGCACAGCAGCTAGAGCCCCGTCTGCAGTTCAGACTTCCCGCAGATGAAATGAAAGCCTACGTGAAAAAGGTTTTCTTCAATCGGAAGCGGGTATCAGATGAAGACATCCCATCCATTAGCTGAAAAGATCCAAGCCCAGGCGTATAATCAAATGTCACAGCATGGCCATGGCAGGAGTAAATAACGAAATAAAACTGCCCGAGGACTCAGAGCTTCAAAAGGCTTCTATCCATTAATTCCTCCCCACGTCTATTTGGCCATCAGGCGTCCCTCCATCATCCGAGAGGGGTCTGCCTGCAGGCCTCCACTCTCAGGACAGTTCCGGTGTAGGCTCCACTGTCAGGACACCTCCACTCTCGGTACAGGAAGTGACGATTCGCCCCCCGGAGGACTCGTCTGATGGATGTTTTCAAATCACAATGGAGACTCATCACGGAGGTGATGAGTCCGCTCACCATGCACTTTGGGTCAGCCTTGGTCAAGCCCTTTTGACCCCCCCAGCCTTTTTCTCGTAAAAGTTGACTTAGCCATTTTTCGCTCAAATGACACCATGGAGGAATGTAACGGGAGTTGACAGGAGACTCTGCCCGTCTCACGAGTGCCAATTTTCGGTTTTATTAATTTGTCTTTTTTTGGCTATTTCACCCGTTTTCTTCTACCAGTGACACTGCCCGGTCTTGGGTGTCCCCCCACGGCCTGTGTCCAGCCGTTTCCTCCCCCCACTCATTTGACAATTTTTGTTGCATTTTTCTCCTCTCCTCTCACTGATCGAATGGCAAACGCAACCCACCATCGGAAGGCCTCCACCGGCCCGGCCTAGTGCCGGTGCTCTGGCGGTCGGTTCCTCCAAACTGCGGGTTCGACTCTGATGGCCGGGAGGGTGTGCTGCGTTGGGGGTGGGGGACTTCCCCCACTCTGCGTATCTCTTCCTTCCCGGGCCGGCTGATATGAAGCGTGACCAAGACGCACCGTCTGACTCAGGTGTAACTAAAATACAAGATGTCGTTATTTATATATATAAATATATATATCTATATAGATAGAATAAGTGTCAGTGCGATTTGATTTTGTATTAGCGTGCATTTCCTGTTCGGAAAGTGGTGCTGTACTGAGAGTAAACAATACACGGAAGGTGTCCCTATTTTTATATAGGGGGCATATATAAACATTTACTTAATTTAATGACAGGTTTTCTAATTTTAGAAAGAGAGTGTTGGCCTGCTCTACAATTGGCTCCTCCCCTCCACCGTGCCCTCCAATTACTGCTCCCCGTTATATGGCTGTAGAGAGTGGGGGAGGGGGGGGTGGAGCAGCGAGAGAGAAAGTTAGTTTGAGTGATTGTCTTCCAGTCAGCATTGACTTGTTACTGGAGGTCCATCCCTGCAGTTGGTGCATCATTCACCGTCCAACCCGGATGGGTTCAGCCCGTGCCTCTTTGAGGGGGGGAGGGGGGGGGACAGCTTCACTGTCTGCTCAACTTTCCAACAGCCTACCGGCTCTTCCTGCTTTGAAAAGCTCTTCTCCAAGTGACCACGGTCGGGTGTGACCCAGTGAGGTGCCATGGCATCTAAGGACGCCTACAAATGCCCAGCGGGGCTCGTCGATCGGCGCCCGCTGGACCAGCTCCCGCCACCGGCCAGCTCCAACAAGCCGCTGACACCTTTCAGCATTGAGGACATCCTCAACAAGCCGTCAGCGAGGACGAGCGGAGCAGCCCGCCACGGAGAGAAGCTGCCTATTGCGGGGAACAAGCTGTCCTGCCGGCCGCTGCTCGCTCACAGCTCCCCACTGTGCGCGCTGGAGGAGCTGGCCAGCAAAACCTTCAAGGGCCTGGAGGTCAGCGTGGTGCAGGCGGCTGAGGGTAAAAGACTCCTTTCTCTGGGAATTATAAGCAGGCTATAGTATTGCAATAGCTGTATTTTCTTTCCTGATAAAAAAAATAAATAAATAACATGAAGGAAACTTGTGCGTGTTTTTATTTTTCTATTATTTATCCTGCATGCAGTAACAATCGACCTGTATTATTTATTTAGTGAAAATAAAGACATTATTTCATTAAGGCATTACTAAAAAATGTGGTCAATTGAAATTGATTTTAAATGATATTGCACAGTTATTTAATTAAAATGAAAATAACTTTAGATTCAGTTCAATTAAAGAAGTTAGGGTTATATATATTATTATTAATATTATACAATATTGCACTGTAGCCTTAAAGGCAATACCGCCAATACGAAAAATATACAACATTTTTTTGCACGTATAGACTTTGTTATAAAAGTGTTATCTCATAGCATCTCTTTTATATATTAATTGTAATTGTAGGGTTAGGGGTTTTAAATATTTAGAAAAAAATAATAATGCATTTTATTTATAGAATGCTTTTCTGGACACTCAAAGACACTTTACAGAGTAAAACAATCATAAAAACACAATTAAAACAACACACTTAAAATATAAAAAACACAAATATTTAATTAAATTCTAATGTTTTCTTCTATCGCAGTAGGCCACTTTTAAATGCTCCTATATTATTATTACTTCTTATTGTTATTGCAGGCACCAAACTATACCTATAAATCTCATTCAGACTCCGCAAACTCATAAATGGCAGGTAGCACATTATGCAACTCCCAAACTAAATACGTTTTAATATTCTTTGAATAAATAACGATTGTCAAACAAGAAGAGTGTATTTTATCCACATTATGTCTGATGATTGATCCAACAGAAACAGATTAATCAGCTCTTCTACTTATTATTATTATGTCATCGTTGTTATTGTGTTATTCTACCTCGGAGCTTTTGGGTGACTCATAATATTGTTTTGAGATGAGGGTGAGTTGCTTAAGCTTGTTTAACTTTATATTAACTTATTCCTTCCTCTAAGGCCGCGACGGCCTGACGCTCTTCGGCCAGAGGAGCGCCCCAAAGAAGCGGCGGAAGTCCCGCACGGCGTTTACCAACCACCAGATCTACGAGCTGGAGAAACGCTTCCTGTACCAGAAGTACCTGAGCCCAGCGGACCGGGACCAGATCGCCCAGCAGCTCGGTCTGACCAACGCGCAGGTCATCACCTGGTTTCAGAACCGGCGGGCGAAGCTCAAGCGGGACCTGGAGGAGATGAAAGCTGATGTGCAGTCCGCCTCGGTGTCCGGCACTGTGGCCCTGGAGAAACTCTCCAATCTGGCCGAGCTAGAGAAGTGCATTGACGGCGTAAACGGCGCCGGGACTCTTGACCCGGTCTCCAGGTTACGCCTTGCCGCCACCGGGATCCTGGCCTCCAGAAGAGCGCCTCTCTCTCCCGCAGCGCCGCGTCCCGGCTGCTCAGAGGATGAAGATGAAGAAATTGACGTGGATGACTGAAGTGTGTCAGTGTCACAGTGAGAAGGGCAGATAACGCGATGTTTGCAGACAGAACCTTTGGCTTTAAGCGCGGCCGTGAGCAGGCCCGCGCTTCCCGCTGAGCAACAGGCGTGCAACGCGTTCCACGGAGACGTGCATGTCCTCATTAAACTCATTCAGCTCACAATCACTGAAACATCCTTATGCTTTACGTGATTTCTTCAACGCGCTCATGAATACTTTTTTTTACAGGCTCGAGCCGACTCTTTTTAGCATTTTGATAAATTAATTGTTGTGAAATTATGATCATAAACAGAAAATATGTAGTAAACAGTTTGTAATACATTTATTTATTTAATATATTTATGATACATTGTTAAACACTTAAGTGCCTTTAGAATACACAGAACGTACATCTGTACAAATTGTAATTTAAACTATACTGTAAAATAAAAGAACATTTATAAATATTCAGCCGTTGGGATATTTATTGCGATGTATTACATTTATATAAAATATAATTAGGTGTTCAGTATCATAGCGTGGCAGAGCTATTCAGAGAAGCGTGTGTGTGTGTGTGTGTGTGTGTGTGTGTGTGTGTGTGTGTGTGTGTGTGTGTGTGTGTGTGTGTGTGTGTGTGTGTGTGTGTGTGTGTGTGTGCGTGCGTGCGTGCGTGCGTGCAGTGCGGCTCTCAGCGCACAATGGAGGCCGGAGAAAAGCGTTTCAGTGCCATATGGTTCACAGACTCTCCTCTCAATCACAAGTCACTTTGATTGATTGTGTTAACCCGTCTTTTCATGGAGGAGCCCCCTTTGTGTCGCAGAGAGCAGACACACTGCTAAAACACGGCTATGAATGTGAATAGAGCCTTGAAATAATAATAGACTTACACACTTTGTGTGCTCTTCATCAGCATTTATATTATAGGTTAAACCTATATTATTAACGTTTTACATCATTAGCAAAGTACTGCAACTGCACTACTTTGCTAATGATGTATGCCTATAACCTATAATAGTAATACTTGAAGATAAAACAAATAAAATAAAGAAGCATGAATGAATTTCAGTTATTTTTTCTGCACTCAATGTTAGCTAGAACTCTGTAGAAAACTATTTTTAAAATGTCCCATTAACCTCTCGATCTAACTGTAATTTAAACACAGTTGTGTTCATTTTCACTTAAATGTTAAGAAAAAAGTTCATTGCTGCAACCTTAACATGCTTAGGCTCCCTGGTGCCAATAACAAGACAGGCAATTCATATTCTGGGAAAATACAGTAGTACATTTAAAACATAGATTATGCTAAACCAGGGGTGTTTTTTTCACAGAGGGCCGCATACATAAAAGTATACAAAGGGTTGGGCCCCTCACCAGAGGTTAGGTATATCGCCTCATAAGTTAAGTTATAAGTTGGCAAAATCAATCAAATGTAGGTAAATTATTCTTGATACTTGAATATGCTATAAGAAAACAAACAGCCTCCATCACAGCTCTCCAGTGGGTTTCATTTATTTTGTTACAGAAAGTGTTGCAGCTCATCCCTTAAAACAGAAGCCTCAGACTTAAAATAAGTGGAAATAGGAAGGGTATTTTTCAAGCTTATGTGAACAAGTTATTTGGCTTTTTTGTATCAACTAAGTTTGACTGAATATATTTGAAAAACTACGCTTATTAACACATGAATACTGTGTAATGTATTTGTACATATATATTTAAGAAGTACAATATAAGACAAGAACAAGTTTCAGGTGTGGGCCATATTCCATTATACTTTTAGAATTTGCTAAGGGCCATTTCAAAATGGACAATGGGCCGCAGTTGGCACCCGGGCCGTAGTTTGGACACCCCTGTGCTAAACTGAACTTAAACATTTAATTTGACTAAAGATAATAAACTGAACTGCATGTAACCCTGTAACCTTAATTACTCTAATTGTAGGGTTGCAAATAAATGCTTATGTTAGCTATTACCTCAGGAATTATTGCTAGCTGCAGAACGTAATGCTTCAATGCAAGGACAAACTAAGATATTTAAATAAAGAAAAAACACTTTGAAATGAATGTGTCTTATTCTGATAATATGACAGAAAGGGTTGCATTGGTTAAAGTTTTTTTAGTCTCAAGAAAAATATGAGGAATACGCTTTTAACTGCATCATGGTCTTCATTATTTCTCTGTCAGACGCAGCATTTCATGTAACAGAACATCCATATTTGGTTATTCAACTTTGTGTTACAAAATTATTTCCATCAAGTAATCTGAGCAGGTGATAATATCACTGATAATAATTACCCATTACAAGCACATATCTTCCAATCAGAGGTCACTTTATTCTTTAACCTCTTAAGCACGGAGGTCCCCCCATTGGACCCCTCCCACCGTTTTGTTTTCGAGATAATGTCTCAGGGCTTCTTAACATTTATGAAACTATTAATGTGTAGCACCAGATTAACGGGAAGAATCTCAGCTAACTGAAGATATGAACCATTTTAACCAAAACAAAACACAAGTCTCATAAGAAGCGTCTAAATGACCCCTGAGCGAAAAAATTCTAACGCACTGCGGCACACAATTCAAGATAAAGATACCCTTATTACTTATCGTAGCTGCACATACAATATAGCCTATTAAAGCTGAGACTCCACTGATTATTTAGGTATAGTATCATCACTGAGCGATCCGAACTTGCGACAGGGGAAGCAAACACAGACATCACAACACGTACCTTTACGGAGCTTTTATGGCAGATCGTCTCACCGTAGCTGTCAATTAGGTCAAAAGACGTGTTCAATGGCATTAAAACGAAAAAAAAACTGTTGATCCATAGGTTGATAATGTACCTGTGCCTTTTAAAAAATTATTTATAATCCATAATTCCATTTTTTATGTAAAAATCGGAGCGGAAAAGTTAGCTGCTAATGGTAGCCACCAGAGTGTATGCAGCTTCCGGTTTTGGTAACGCGTCACTCTCACCCCTTATTTGTTAACGTTTTGGTGTGTATATAACTTTCCCTCGATTCCATTGGCTCTAGCGGTTATAAAGAGATTTCATTCATCAAAATCGAGCAAGGGGGGCCAGAGATAGGTCAAATCCACCCAAATGACCCCAGAAGTGGGGTTTTTTGGCTAAATCTCTCTAAAAAGGTCAAATTTCACTTGTTTTGCATCAATCTTGATACAGGGTATTTATTATATGTTGTACTTTGGATTCCTAAAGCTTTTAGTCTACTAACCCATCATCCAAGGGTAGTTTTCACTATAAGTAAAAAATAATTTTTGGACGGACACTATAATTTACAGTTTTTTACTATGTAAAATCTGAATTTTCTTTAAAATAAAAAACATCTATATTGATTCTGACTTTTCTACATCCAACTCACAGGTTTATCATTACTTTGAGAATAAAGATTATTAATTTAACCCTTTTAGAAGGGAAGATATGGTCATTTGTTCTGGGAATGTCATTTTCGAGCCTGAGACCTGAAAAACAGGCTCAGGGCTTAAGAGGTTAAAATACAATTTCAATGTATGGACCTAAATCTGTTGTTGTCCTTTGTGAATCTGATGTATTACCAAGCGCACAAGACCTACAGAAGAGAAAGGGGGGGGGGGGGAGGGGCGGGGGGAGAGATCATTCATTTAATCGGCCAGCATATTGAAAATGGATGCATGGCCCCCTGCTTAAACAACCGGACAGGTTTGCCATGCATACGGCCCGTGTAAACTCTTTGAGGCTAGCAGTGTTGTCTTGTATGTTGAATGGCCATCGAATAGACAGCTCGATGTCAGTTTAATTAAAGAATCACAGTCTTAGGCCCCGGCTCCACGAGGACAAATACGGCAAAACGCATCGGAGTAACGCAAACGCAACCGCAAAAAACCTTCCGACCACACGCAATATACACCGGATTGTGTCAAGCTCTACGAGACGGCTCCGTTTACATCCAACCGCTGGAAAAGCTGCAGTACATATGCCGAACCTGTACGTGGCGCTGTAACTTCCTCCACAAAAGCAGCAACTTCCTCCACAAAAGCAGCGAAGAAGAATGGTTGTCATGGCTGCACTTCTATTTATTCTCCGCGGTGGGGGCGGAGGGAACCGCGCAGAGTTTTTTGCCGGTCAATGTGTGTTAAAGTTTAAATCTTCATGCTTCCTCATGCAGCAGCTGATCCAGTAAGTAAACCCGACAGTAAAAATAAACATATTTATAACTAGTTTAGGTAGTTTGAGAGGTAATTAAAATAGCAAAGGGTGGTGATCTGACTTGAAGTGTGTGTTTTGCTCTCGCTGCTTCACAGCCGGAGGAGCTGCGTGTCTCCGTCCTGTCAGATTAGACTTCACTCGCGTTTATGTTCATATCGAGATAAAGATAAATAATCTGAATTCGGGGGTGAGCAGCAGAGGTGGGGAGAGGCGGGGCTATGAAACGCATGACCGTATAGGCGACCCCACGGCCCCGTTGGACCCCCCAGAGCGCTCCGTTCCCAGATCTATCCACCTTTGGACCCGTTGTCGTTTGCGGGGTCTGTTTCTACGTTTCTGTTACGGCGTCGTCGAGCTTAAAGGGCTATACGCATGAGAAATATGCGGATTCAACCCGTTTTCGTCCTCGTGGAGCCTACGCCTTAATGAAACGTTTTTTGGTTGTCGTAATGTTACAGGGGCCATACAAATAATAGATTCATCTAAAAAAAAAATATATGATGATTTAGGCCAGATTCACCTATTAGCTTACTTCCATCTGCTATTTATATATCTAAAAAGCAGATGGAAATAAGCTAATATATATATATATATATATTATAAATCGCTGCAGCTATATCTGAGGCGCTGTGTTTCTGTGAGTCGGTGTGAGCTGGAGCGCCCTGTGCCGCAGGCCACAGCTTGATTGATCACTAAATAGGGCAGATTTGAACGTTTTTGTTCCTGTAGAGCCCCTTAACACTTCAAACTTCAATTTTACGGGCTATTGAACTAAGCATGTCCCTGACAAAATTGATATATGTATTCATTTACTTTAACCAGTGATTAATTACTATACACAAAGAGAATTATTCCAGAAGTTCTCCCTCCCCCTCTAAATTGGAATGTTATGCCATGTTAATATAATTCTAGTTGATAATTCAGAAAATAAAAGGATTTAGCAGTGCTGGAAGGCATAACCCACTCTCTGTGTTCACAAACACTCAGGCCCCAGCACCACGGGAACCCATACGGCAAAACGCATCGGAGTAACGCAAATGCAACCGCAAAAAACCTTCCGCCCACACGCAATATACACCGGATTGTGTCAAGCTCCACGAGACGGCTCCGTTTACATCCAACCGCTGGAAAAGCTGC